CTTGGATGACGTGAGATTTTGGTATACGGTTAATAGCGACCGCATGCCCAAAAGCCTAAAGATGGCATTTTAACAACTACAAAAATTCGATTAGTCTTGTTCCTGGAATAAGTAGTTCTGTTCATTTAGCTCACGCAAAACGACCTTAGGGATTTTCCCATCAGATCATTACTATTTTGGTTTCGAAAACCCTTGATCTGTTACAAGGGGGATATTAAGAAATATCATGGTGCTTTAGACGCCTTACCGAGCCCAAGACCGTATCACACCATACGCATGCCCCTTTGTGAACTTTTGATGGCCATTACATGTGTGTAAATTGTTTGCATGCTGAGCAAAACTCTTTCTTACAATGGATTGCACGATTCTAGAGTCTATTGGAGGAGATTTTTGTTCAGGTTATACACTTAATGAATCAATTTTGATATCAATGTGAGTTATATTCCTTGTGTAGTGTATTGAGAACAGTAAAAGTACTTGTACTAATGTTAGTGATATTACTGTAAGATTACTGAGTGGAGTGAAAGTACTGTTACTAAGTAAGACTATTGTACCAGCTTATAAGATACTTGATCAATGAGTAAAGACAGTGTAATAGTAAGCAATTGAAGAGTGTGTGTCTCCACTAAATGAATACACAACACCTTGAATATCTCTTGTACCTTATTCCAGCCATACATCCGTAGATTTGTACCGGGATAGTCATGCAGCTCTTGCATAGTTAATCGTAAACCACTATATGATTGTTACACTAAGTAGCTACTGTGCCTGTATAGTAGCGCAAGCCGACGGTATCTCTGGCGCAACCTTTAATAAACAAACCATAACAGACGAGAGTCTAAAAGTGTAAGCTAGTTTTTTACAACCCAGTTGGCTTGGTTGATCGACCGTCAGCCCTGTTGTATACGATCTTCACGCGAGTAAGGATAGTAGTCAATTCGGGAATCGTAATTACTGTAAAGATAAGTATTAGCATTCAGCAGGTGCTAACAGTTTGTATCGGATAGACAATCGCTCTATGACAAACAAGAGCTATGTGGATTTTCTAAGTTAGCTTCCATCATTTAAATCGAGTTGGTCCGAGGGAAAGCTTTCTCCAAATAATATGTAGCCATACTCAAGTGCAGTTTAACCATTGAAAACTGTGATCACTCCCGAGTACGGGCCGATTTACTTTTAACTTTATAGTCACCAGTTACGCTGCTCTCCTTAACTTATCAGAGTCAAGTTGTCATCAGAAGACCAAAGCTCGGCGGGGAGGAAGCTCGATCCGCACTGAGTAAGACCCATGCACGGTGTCTGACGCATAAACGAGCGGTTAAAGAGGCAGCAAATGACCGTCAAAAAGTAATTAGTGACCTTAAAATCATTATCATGGCAAAGCCATGCCCGATAAGACAAATGAGCGGGACAAAGTATGTTTAGGACGCGCTCAAGGCACTTCAGCCCGGTATTCTGATAAAACGGTGATGATGCAGTGGAAACCTAAATAAGAATCAATGTGTCAAGTTGATTTTCTTGAGGAGATAGTTGGTGCACGGCTTTAGGAAAAACAGGACTGCCTTACATTACGTTTTGTTCTCAAACCGTTTCGGCTGCCACTTTTCAAATCTTTTTTGTCAGTCTCATTTTCTTGTGTCTAATCGAGACCATTTCAATTACTGCCTAGTCAAGGATCTGGGATGCCATGCAAAATATTAATCCGATCCAATTTCATAAATTTTCAAAACGGCTTTGAGAATGTACATTACATGTTACAGATGTGACTGAGAGGCTGGGATATCTGTTGCATGTACCTAAATCTCAAGAAAATGCGATTTGTAATCAATTCATCTAAGAAATCTAAAGTTAACACAGGGGAATAAGCTGAATGAGTCCTTCGATATGAAGAGTTCGGTTTCAATTGGAGAAAAGTGCAACATCTTTTTCTTAAATAAAACATACAAATCTAAATTATCAAAGAGCATTACCCATCTTTTCCTATCAAAATGACATAAGCCTGTACGTTTTTTCGTCTGCAGCTCAAGGCGCAGTAAACGGTCATGCGTTACTGCTTAGTTACAATCGTTACCCTCCTGCATATTTTAATATTATCATCGGCCGATGAAGGTATGAAATAATGCTGTAATATTTTCTTAGTAGATATTTGCGTACCGCATTATTTTATATAAGTTTTCAAGTCAAAGGTGATGTAAGAGCCAAAATGGAAAAACAAGGAAAATCAACCGTTGGTATTGAGAATTACTTTCCATCCTACAACATGGCGATGAA